AGGAATGCCTAGAACGGATGTTTTTCACGGGAACTTCTTTTTGAAGTCTCAGTAATTACATGAGACAATGGTGGTTTATATTTACTGGAAACAAAATTAAATGTTCCCAAAGCAGTGCATAAAGAGTGAAATTTCTTGTCACATTTCTGAAGTTAGCATGGAGTTTTTACAGCCTGCACAACAATTCCAATCTGAATGATTGTTAAAACACACCTTAGCTTTGGGGTTTCTCTTACGTCTTTTTTCCAGTGGTTACAATTATTTTCCAAAATTACGAAGTGTCCCAAGATGTGACCATTAAAACCTGGGACAGAGTAAATTCTCAGTTGTAAATTCTCAGATCTTCAGCTTGTAAGACTGATTGTTGAGATAACACTTGGCCACCCAAAGCAGCATTCCTATTTGTATCACTGTGATTTTTCTCCTTTATGAAAGATTCTGAGGACTGGCGAGTGAAGAGTTTAAGTTTCCAGGTAGCTTTCCTCAGGCCTTCTATGCTTATGAGAGAAGTTTGTTGGATTTGAACAGTCTTTTACTATCCTCAGACAGTAATGTTGGTTTTTCTTAAGGTAATGTAACATTGTGTTTTAATTACATAATTTTTGGGAAGTCAAAATGGTTGGAAAGGGAAGGATTTGGTTCCTTGGTGTAAATTAGCTGGTCTTATGTTATGTTGTTCCTATGCTAAGTTCTACAATAAGTTGGAAATTGATAGTGGTACTGTAATACCACCTGTAGGTATTCTGTAATGCATTGTTAATGGTCTTGCTTCCCTTAGTAATTGCTTCTGTTAGTTACAAAATAAATTAAAATGTGTTAATTTTGTTGTTACTTTTCCTCAAAATTTTATTTTGAGATGGAGAAATCAGAGTGAACACATACTGTAAGATCTTATTTATGAAGAAGTGAACAGAAGGGATAATTTTGTACATGATATTTTTATAGGTATAAGCCTATGCAGAAAGTGGATGGAGTTGCAGATGGCTTCACAGGAAGTGGTCAACAGACAGGGACATCTGTAGAACAAACTGTAATTGCCCAAAGTCAACATCATCAACAGTTTTTAGGTATGAAAGCAGTTTTTATAATACTGTATAATTAAGTAATATGAACCTTATTAGCACTTTGAATATCAAATCACATATTAGTTGGTTCTAAAGTTATACCCTCTTTAAAATTCTTACAACAGAACAAAAAGGCAGTTAAATTACATATTCTGTGTTGTGAGCTTTATAATATTTATTACACCTCATATAAGTATAAAAGGAATAAAATATGCAAATTCTTTGTTTATGTAGAAAGACTCTTTGGCTGCATTACTGCAGAAGATGTAGAATTATTTGGTTGGGTGCCAAAACTTCTGCCCCAATTTTGCTATTACTGAAATCTTTGAGAATGTAAGGGTAGCATTAAAATGTTTTGAATCTTCATTTCCAGGTATCTTTCAGTCCAGCATTTTTCTTTTAGCAGCTTGTATCATGGAAACAATTTGTGACTCTGGTTCTACTTGAAAGTCTAATAAATTTCAAATGAAAATGTATATTGAGTCTACTAAGCCCCATCATACCTGGCTACATAGAAACTCTTCAGCTGACCAAGAGAAAACTATTAAAGGATTAATCTTTCATACACTGACATAGATATTTACCTTCATCCTGTAATATTCTGAAAACATATGTTAGCTTTTTTATAGGTGTGGTGTGTACATGACATCTTTTTTATGTCTTTAAGAATAATTTTATATTTTTTTTCTGATTAAGAAATGTGGCTGAAATTATTTATAACTTTAACGTATGACAGGTATGAAAAACTTTTCTCTTAGAACATTATAGCCTTCTGGAAATTGTTTCTTTGTATCATCTGTAAATTTTTCCTTAATCATACTATAACTGGCACTACTCACAATAGTCCTCTTTCATTATGTTGTCATGGAAACAGATGCATCTAGAGTACTTCCAGAATTTGGAGAAGTTGAAATATCTTCTCTCCCAGATGGTACTACCTTTGAGGACATCAAATCATTGCAGAGTCTTTATCGAGAGCACTGTGAGGTATTTTCTGTAAATAATTATTTTTTTTTAAAGTTCATGTCTTCTAGTGAAGGTCAATACAAGCCAGTAATGCCATATATTATTACAGCCCTGTTAATAGTATGTGACTTCCCCTCCAGTTATTTTGCTTATTTCATTGGAAAGAAAATTCATAAAAAGGTTTTTCTGGAGGGTCCCCTTTACAGGGGAAAAAATAAATATATAGTAGACAATGAGAATGAATCGTAATTATGTGTATGTTTTCAGAATGTTAGAGCAACTAGTCTTCAGATTATACATGTAGATTTTAGGTTTAGTCAGTAGGAAATCGCAGTGGTTTAAACCCAGCCAGCAGCTAAGCACCACACAGCCACTTGCTTGTTCCTCCACAGTGGGCTAGGGGAGACAATCAGAAGGGTGGAAGTGTGAAAGCTCATGTGTTGAGATAAAGACAGTTAAATAAGTAAAGCAAAAGCTACACACACAAGCAAAGCAAAAGAAGGAATTCATTAACTGCCTCCAGTGAGATAGGCAGGTGTTCAGCCATCTCCAGGAAACCAGGCCTCTATCATGCCTCCCCTGGCATGGTTTGCGGCCCTTACCTCTTGTCCTATCACTTGTTGCTTGGGAAAAGAGACCAGCCACCTCCTCTCTCCATCCTCCTTTCAGGTAGTTGTAGAGAGCGATAAGGTCCCCCTGAGCCTGCACTTCTCCAGACTAAACACCCCCAGTTCCCTTGGCTGTTCCTCATCACACTTGTGCTCCAGACCCTTCACCAGCTCCATTGCCTTTCTCCGAACCTGCTCCAGCACCTCAATGTCTCTCTTGTAGCGAGGGGCCCAGAACTGAACACAGGATTTGAGGTGCAGCCTCACCAGTGCCCAGTGCAGGGGGATGATCACTGCCCTGGCCCTGCTGGCCACACTATTGCTGATACAGGTCAGGATGCTGTTGCCCTTCTTGGCTGCCTGGGCATAAGCTGCTCATATTCAGCTCTGTCAGTCAGCTCCCCACAGGTCCTTTTCCATGAGCAGCTTTCCAGCCACTCTTCCCCAAGCCTGTAGCGTTGCATGGGTTGTTGTGGCCCAAATGCAGGATGTGGCACTTTGCCTTGTTGAACCTCATACTGCTGGCCACAGCCCATTGATCCAGCCTGTCCAGATCCCTCTGCGGAGACTTCCTATCCTCCAGCAGGTCAACACTTCTGCCCAACATGGTGTTGCCTGCAGGTTTCCTGAGGGTGCACTCAATTCCTTCATCCAGATCATTAGTGAAGGTATTAAACAACACTGGCTCTAACACTGAGCCCTGTGGGACACCACTAGTGACCAGTCACCAACTAGATGTTTCCAACCCAGTGATGAATCATCCTGTGCAGGCCATGAGCAGCCAGTTTCTCCAGGGAGTGCTATGGGAGACAGTGTCAAATGCTTTACGTAAGTCCAAATAGACAATGTCCACAGCGTTTCCCTCATCAACCTTCTGTGGCATAAACATACCCACAGCCACAGTGCTCTGAGGTGTACCTTCTCCACTGTGGCCTTATCCTTGGGTCACAGTCCTTTCAGAGGTATACATTCTGTGGCACAGACATAACCATGGCCACAGATGCTTTGAGATGTACCTATGCTGTTGTGGGTTGATTCACAGCCACAGAGGATTTGTGTTGCTTCCATGTGGACTCATCCACAAGTCACAGCCCTTTCGACTCAGGTTTGCTGTGGATTTCAATCTTGTCCAATACAGCAGTGCAGAAACAGCAGTGATGCCCTGGCCATCTGCCAGCCCAGTTACATTGCCATTGCTGTTATCAAAATGTTCCCAGGCACAGCAGAGTAAGATGATCAGCAGTATGGCAAGCACCAAAAGCAAAAAGTAGCCACTAACGAGCAGTAGACTCTTAATACACAGTAAGGCAAACAAGCCCTATGGCAAGCACAGGAGCCTACCAATTAATACCTAAACAGCAGTAACAGCTATAAATTCAATCTAGCAAATTCCAAACAAACCTGTCTTTATCTCAAAAACCTTCAAGCCCAAGGTGGCTTCAAATTTGGGCGCCAAACTGTCCTACAGAAAAGGCCTTGATTGTGTAAGCACTGCTCAGCAATAATGAAAACATCCCTGTCTTATCAAAAGTTTTCAGCACAAACCTAGAACATAATCCCATACCAGCTACTGTGAAGAAAATTAACTCTACTCCAGCCAAAACTAGCACAGCAGTTAAATTATAATTTCTTATTTTATATCAAAAGCAGTGATTTTTTTTTCCAATTTGAAGGAAACGTTGAGATGTTAAAGCCATATTTGATACTGAAGAATTTATTTTAAATTTATTTTTGAAGGTGCTTTCAAATCTATACTGAATTATGAAAATGAATGGAATGTCAGGTTTCCTTTGTATTTGCAGTAGCATTAAATATTTTCTTTGGTGAATCCTCTGATACATTTGCATATCCATGCTCAATTCTAGAGACTTCCATGAATGTGCACTTCACCTTACCTAAGTCTCTGTGCACGCCAGTTTATCGTGCTGGATAATTTATGGATATCAAAGATACTTAAACAGATATTATTTATAACTTGAGGAATGTACAGTTTGCCTTTGTTCCACTACTTGATGAAGGAAAAAAAAGTGTAGATCTAGTTGGAGTTGGGAGTGGGGGAAACCTGGGTGGAAGATGATCTGTATTTGTGGTTTATTTTCTCAGGCAATACTGGATGTGGTTGTGAATCTTCAGTTCAGCCTGATAGAAAAATTGTGGCAAACTTTCTGGCGCTATTCTCCCTCTGCTCCACCTGATGGCACTATTACTGAAACAAGGTCAGTAGATGTTTGCTGCTTCTCATGATAATACAATACAAGTGTCAAAGAGAAAAGAATAAATCTTGGTTTACCTGCAGAGTAATATTTTCATATGATAATTTTTCAAACTAAATTTATGTGGTCTGACATTTTTTTATAGCCTGAGTGTATGCCAAAAGTACAGTATTGAAACAATTCTCATCCATGTTTTTATTTCCTTGGACAACTACAGTAAAAGTGTCTTTTCATAGAATCACAGAATTGTCAGCGTTGGAAGCGTGATCATCTAGTCCAACCCCCAAGCCAAAAGGATCATTCATACCTTTGCATAACTTTTGAGCTATAGCAGAGCTATGGAGGAGGCATTTTTTAAATCCATTTCCATATGACACAAGATGTAAAGAAGTTCTGTTGGCTGTGTTTGAGACATCTATGACATATTTATCAAAAAAATACATTTTAACACCCATTGGAGGTTTTTACCTGCTGTAAATGCATTGTCATTTATATGTTTGCTACGTTTTTTTCACATCAGCAATCTGAGCGAAATAGAAAGTCGACTTCCAAAAGCAAAGTTGATTACTCTGTGCAAGAATGAATCTATTCTGAAGTGGATGTGTAACTGTGACCATGTGATGTACCAGGCTTTGGTGGAGATTCTCATTCCTGACGTCCTTAGACCTATTCCTAGTAAGTTGAACACCTGAAACATTTTGTAAGTATTTTTGTGCCTGTGCGTGGTATGGTGATGGTGGTCTTCTGCCTCACAGGGCAGCATTAGTTTGAAAGTTAGGAAAGTATTACGTATCATTTATCCTTAATTTTATTGTGTAGGAAGTTGTGCTGAGAGTTGATGTATGCTTTGTATTTTAAAAGTAACTGAGAAGTGTAGTGCAGTTGGAAGATCTAGCTTTCAAGATCTAGTTTCATATCAAAGTTATTTCTTCGAGTGTTACATTGCCAGATAAAAATGATTTCCTTTTATGCTGGCTGTAGGCTATCTGATAGACTTAGACATAAGCCCTGTGGCCCTGAGCTAGTGTGCGCTAATGTCAGTTGATCCTTCCACTAAATTCAGTAGGTTTTAGATAAAGCATTACATATTAATCTTTGATCAGTCTGGAAAAAAATGTATATGATCTTTATGATTCTATTTTTGGACAGTTAGTCTTTTGTTCCTTATCAGTAGCTGCTGAAATCAATATTAATTACTGTTATGCAATGAAAACTTAACTCCAAAATTTTTAATCCAATTTAGTATTCCAATCTAACTGTTCTTTCTGACATACATCCTGCATGAAAGAGTCAGTAACTGCCCTGCTATTTAACCATTACCAGGAGTACAGCTTTCTTTTCAAAGTCAATTTTACTAGAATTTATCATTGCTGCAGCAATGCATTTTTATGGCTATTTTTGGTAGAAAATTAATCTATGTGAAGAAGGTTGAACTCCTTTGTAAAGCATTTGTTGTCTCACACATGCTGTGCTAAATATTAAAAATAAATCATGTTAGCAACCTACTATACGCTTCGTAACTCCTACATATTATATCCTTTCCATGAAAAAACAGTAGTCACTTTATAAAGTTAGATTAATCTTAAAAAAATTAAAAATAAAAAAATTAGGGCCTTAAGTAGCTTTGCAACTAACAAAGCTATTTTGTTCTGCTGTGAACAGAATACCACCCCTTCTGATATAGCAAGTCCAGCAGTAATAAGCACTCCGTAAGAATATTTGCAAGTATTGCCTTGCAGAAAAGTTTTATTGACTTTTTGCTTGTCAGTGATATGAAATTAGGTTTTAGTAAATTACATGTGATACAAAAAAATATTTGGAACTGGAAATGTATGAAATCTGAAAGTCAGTCATTTAAAAATGCAGTTTTACCTGTTTTTAAGGAGAGAGTAAATTCTTAGAGATCCACATAATTTATCTTTCATCTATGTAGCAGAATAAAGAAAAAATGTTTTCTGAAATACATGTAATTATTGACAACCATTACTTGTAGAAGGTATTTTGCTGGTTTATATTTCATGTTCTACGTTTCTGTCGAATGACAATGCCAGTAAGTAGGATATTAATTTTAGAGTAATATAATGTATCAGAAGTGAACAGGTAATGATAAAAACTCCCACAAATCTAATCACAGTATTTAATAGGTTGAATTAAAACTCTCTTTTCCAAGAGCACATTATTTTCTTAATACAAAGGTGGTACAGACAGATTTTTCATCAGACCTGCTTTTGCCTTGCTTTTCATTTGGTTCCCCTGCACAGCCTAGCAGTCTCTAACATTTTTGTATAATAGCTCCTTAGTTTGTGGTATCTTCCTGCCTTGTTACAGGGTTTCAAGAAGATGGGACACAAGTACATAATATCAGTAATTGCAGGTATTGGGTCCTTTTCATATTATTTCTTTCTTTCTAAAATTAGCACTCATATTTGAGTGCTGATGCTTACTGTGTTTGACATTCCTGGTTTTGGGATGATTATCATATTTCATGCAAACATATCATCTAATCCCAGGACAGATTCATCCCAAAAGACTTCTGCCTTTATTTTTTGAACCATGAAGTTGTTTTCTGCTCAGAAGTACACCCACTGAGCTACCTCTGGATGACAGCTAATGTATTTTCTTATTTTATCTTTAGGACTAGCTAACTAAATGGCTTTTTCTAGTTAGCTTTCCTGTAATGATGGTTCATACAAATTCTCTCTTCACTGTTAAATATTTAAAATATTACTAGTTTTTTAACTCCTGCTTTTGAATTAAAATATCTACAGCCATTCCAAGAGACCAAGAGAAAGATTGATTGTGCTTAATGGTTGAGTGTGACAGATATGGAGCTGGGTGAAGGAGGCAAATTCATCCTCTTCTGTGGGAAACTAGCAGTTCATAGGGAAGTTTGGACTACCTGGTGGAAAGCGGATTGTAAATGCTTCATCAAAGGCATTATTTTTTTTCCCCTGAATAAGAGGAAAGATATCAAGAGCAGCTGCTCAAAATAGGGAAATATATTAATTTGCAAAGAGCTTGAAGTAAGCATATTATTTTTAAAGTTTTATCTTTTTTCATGTCTAAATCTTCAGTATTTTAGAAGCATCTTACTGTGCTACTTAGCTGCATGGTAAATATTACTGGAATAGAGAAAGAATGACCACTGCGGAAAAATTGTTTTATTTTAACCTGTCTTAAATTTATCAGCTGAAATGTTTAGCATCCACTGAATGCAAGAATTGCTGTGTATAAAACAACAAAATTCCTTTTCCTAAGAATAGTAAAATGCTCCGTTTGAGTCAAGAATAAAGACCATAATTATCTGATGTCTTTGGCAATAGACCAGAGATATAATGTTTTAGAATGGATTTTTTTGCACCTTTACAAGTGACAGAATGGACAATAACAAAACTTGCCTGTGACTTAGTATGTATCGTAGTTGGAGAAATTTATACTAAATATAATTCCACAACCCAGGCAGACAAAATTTTAAAGTACTGGAAAGGCTCTAAAGCCTTCTTTTTGTGAGATTTGCATATCAGAGCGTTTTTAGCTGAGAGCGCAAGCTTTTTAGGTGCTTATCAAATCAAACTTTCTATTAATAACTGCCATTGCAACATTATTTATTATGTGTCTAGTAACATTAAACTATCTCATTTACTTTGCACCGTTCTCATCATGTGATTCTTTGAAAGTATTTTTTTGTTTTTCTATGGTAGCCGGATGAATTTAAAAGAAGGCTTTGAGGATGTAGATACTTAAAGTTTTGGTAATGGCTAGATGTGTACTTAACGATGGAGTATGAAAAGAAATCTGTACTTAATATGATGTCTCCAAAGCTCATTAGAAATTCATGGTTGTTCTGTACAATACTGGTGCCTGATTAACTATTTTAGCTATCTTATTTCTTCAGAATTTATTATTTCTTTCATTTGTTCCTTTTTCTTTGTAGCTAAAGGCTGGTCTTAAGGCCTGAGCTGCTTTTCCATTTTTATTTTTCATGGAGATCACCATTACAGTGATGCAAATATATAGTTCGGTGAAAAAGAGTAATAAGGAAATTAAAAGTAAAAAAGCCGTAATATTTTACTTGTATGTCTAAGTGTCATTCATACATATTATTCCTTTCACTTTGCATTTTCTTGTTCTATAGGTAAGAAAATGTGTGTGAATACGTAGTTAATTAGTAAGTGCACAGAAATAATTTACAAATCAGCACAAGAGAACTGATTGGTGATTGACAGGATTGAAGGAAAAAGCTTATTCTTCGTGTGGAAACCTCAAGGCGGGAGGAGGGGAGGAGCGGTTACCATAGAGTGTTCAGCTAAGACAGATACTTTATAAGATAAAATTGTGTTCGGCAAAGCATCCAAATGTGTGGTCAGTTACCTAAATAACTGACATGGATTCTACTGCTTATCACTACAAATTTAAAGATGTGAAAAAGATGTCATGAAGATTACATTTTTTTCTTTTAGTAAATCTACTTTGCTAGTAGAAAGCTTTATTAAAAAAGGGACCATCAATAATTCAGATGGGAAAAATACATTTCTCAAAGATAAGTTCTATCAGCATTAATTTCTTACTCTGCCAGAGTATTCAGCCATATAAACAGTCTTCACTTGGACTGTTTCTTATCACATATAGCCAAAATAGTTTGAAAATGCATATTATTTCCTTTTTCTAGTTTTTTATTCTTCACTGGTTTTAGTTCCATTCATTGTCTACTAGTCTTCAGAAATGTAGTTTTTTCTTTTGCTTATCTCCTTTTTGCAGTGGTTTGAGTGGGTGCTGTTATGTCAGTGATCAAGTGTAGGTATGCCAAGTGAGGTTTCTCTTACTCAGGAAGTAGGATTTTCTTTTTCCTAGGTACAGTTCCTTGCGAAAATACTTCCTTTGAAAAATTAAACTTGTATTTTGAGTAGTGCAGATTGCTGTAAGGACTTCAGTTTCTCTCTAAGTCTCTTTCAGCCACTCACCAGTTCCATGAGTGCTATAGTAAAAACCAAAAATGCACACAGATTCCACAACCATTTGAATATTCTCATTTTCAGTCAGTGAAATACACTACTATATTTTACTTATTGATGGTATACTTAACCACTATATATGCTTAAGAATACTTTGCATGGCTTAAGGTTACTTTGGGCTTATTTGAGGAAACTGCAGTATTCCAGTAACTGGAATTCTTGCCAGACTTTTGCTCTTTAATAGAGGTGCTTAGATGAAGTGGAAAGCTGAAAGTTTGTGGTGGAAATTGCCCATTACAACAGCTGCAGTTACTGATGTTCTGTAGGAGTGCCCAAAACAATACTGCTGGTCACAAACTTTCTGAAAGATTATTAGGTGAGGAAGTTAGATCTGCTTATTAAACAAAACCTAAAATAATTATTGCATAATCAATATCTGAATAAAGCATTTTGAACCTAGACTGGATTTGTTTTTTAGTAAGTTAAAGCAGTGGACCTGAACACTGAGTATGTAAGTCCAGAGGATGCAAAACATTTCAAGACCAGGTACATTGCTTTCTTTTCATTCTGTTTTTATTCTTTGATGCACAGGTGCCTTGACCCAAGCCATTCGCAATTTTGCAAAAAGCCTTGAAGGTTGGCTTTCAAATGCCATGAACAATATTCCACAGAGGATGATACAAACCAAGGTAGACAAACCTGTTGCAGTATTTCTTGCAATGGCAAATCAAGTGGGCAGTAGCATCTAAAAGAAGTAGTATTTTAACTTTAATGCTAGATTTCATGTTTAGCATCAAGCATCAAATAATGGCAGAGGAAATAACTTAGTTTTGCCAAAAAAACTATAAGGAACACACTTGATCTGCTACATCGACATAATTTGCATATGAGGACTTGTTAATATAGATTATTAAAATGAAGGTAAAGAATCAATTTGTAGATTGAATCTACAGAGTACAATACTTAAGTTAATTTCTTCGTAGGTTGCCGCTGTAAGTGCCTTTGCCCAGACTCTGCGAAGATACACATCTCTTAATCACCTGGCTCAAGCAGCCCGTGCTGTGCTTCAAAATACTTCTCAAATCAATCAGATGCTCAATGATCTTAACCGTGTTGATTTTGCCAATGTTCAGGTAAAAATTAGCTTTAAGTAACTTGCTTGCTTTTTGATTTTGAACTTCATTGTTAGTTGTCACTATTCTATCAAGAAAGTCAGGTGAGAACATTTTGCTGATTCATATATGCAGTGATTCAGTCCAAACATGACAGCTCACACTTCAGGAAAGTAAGAGCTCACAACCATTATCCATTTCCATTTACTGTCTTGAAGTGCATATACTCTTTCAGCTTCTATGTAAATACAGAGCAAGTAGATTCTTAGAATGGGTACCATGAATGATGTCTTAGTAATAGCATAAACAGTACCTTAGAATTAGATCTCAGATAATAGCGTAGTTTCTGAATGTCTCTAAAAGTTACTAAATGCACAGCATTGTTTTTAGTAAAAACTATTTCATTATTTCAAAGACAATACCATTAATGTTCTTCAGCTAATTGCCTATCCTTAAATTTACAAGATCTGACTAGTTGATAAGTTAGTACAGATTATAACTAGTTCCCAGTTACCTAGAGAATGTAAGTTTATAATTTCACTAAGCCTAGTTTCTCCACGGTTTTGCTCCTCTGAGGTAAAGTATTTTTTCCTTTTGACCAGGAAAGGGAAATGTTACAGATTACTGGTGGTTCTGTGTTTGTCCATGTGAATGAGTGTTTCAACATGACTGTTAAAAATCTTAACAAAAGTCAGTGAAGAGTACTTTACCAAAGATATATCAAGTATTGTAGTATGTTAACATGCATACAGAATCTGTGAATGAAGTGTGAGGTGTTAACTTGGCAGATGATAGCTAGAATTTAAGAACATGACTTGCAGTTAGTGAGTCTTCATTTTTGTCTCTTACTTTCTGAATTAACAAGCTAGTCTTATTTAAACTAGTTAACACTGGCTAAATTGCTTTATTTTATGCAAAGTGTATTTCTCCATTTGTATGCTGTTTATGTTGTAATTTAAATAATCGGTAACCTATCAATGCCTATAATCAGCAAACAGAACAATCCTTGTTTACATACAAATCATTATGGCATTACAGAAATTGGCTTTAAGCTTAGCTTCTCCAGAATGAAAGGAAACTTGCACTTAATTTCTTGTTATTTATTTCACTATTCCTCCTGCTTGCTTTGCCTTTAGTCCCAGAAAAAAACTAACTGGTCTTGAATATTTTAGTAGAAAAATGATGAACGAGGAAAGTAGAAACCTTTTTTGAAAATTAATGTGGATAACGATAACATACTTATGTCCATTCCATTGTTTGTTCTCATTTCTTTATTTGATGCTCTTATATGTTATGCTTTTCCCACCCATTTGCTTTGAACAAAATTATGATAGACATAAAGACTGCTTCTTAGTTTGTCTAGTGAGTTTTGTCCTTTTCATCCATTGAATTGCTTAATCTTTGAGAAAGAATTGGATTCTGTGCTTTGGATTATATATTGTTAATTCAAGAGTTGCCATGTGTTTTAACAGGAGCAGGCTTCCTGGGTATGCCAGTGTGATGACAACATGGTTCAGAGACTAGAAACAGATTTCAAGATGACTCTTCAACAGCAGAGCACTCTGGAGCAGTGGGCTGCCTGGCTTGATAATGTAATGATGCAAGCGTTGAAACCATATGAAGGAAGACCTAGCTTTCCTAAAGCAGCACGGCAGTTTCTGTTGAAATGGTCTTTCTATAGGTAGTATTTAACTTCTAAAATATTCTGACTGTTCTATTACTTGCTAAATTGTTCATTGTAGTAACATTGACATATGTAGTATCAAACAGTGGGTCACTAGATCATGAAAAATGCGGGTGTTTTTTTTCAGAATATTTACTGTTCTTGTGAACTCGGGGATATTTGCAAATCGACAGGGACTTAAATGATTCGTGTTTATTGTTTTAAAGGCCATGTGCAAATGAATGCACGTAGAATTTTGACCTGAGTTAGAATCATAATATTAATTTCTAGGGTTGATTTTTGTGGTCACACAATTATTAATCCATTACTTTTAATATTATTTATAAAAACACTCTGGTATCTATGTTTTTTACGTAGGAAGCAAAACCTGGTTTTAATGTGTAAAAAGAACAGTAAGACAAACATTCTGTATTAGCTGCATATTGAAACAGTTACAAGAGTAAACCTTGTTCTTAAAAAATTACTGTAGCAACTACTTGCTGAAGATACCAGAATTTGTCAATATAGTATGTACACGCAAGCCTGTCTTTCTGTAATTGTAAGTTTCACAGTTTTAAAATCATGGCATTTAAAACCTTTGTACTGGGAAGGTGGACACAATGGACACTACTTAAGCATTAGTTTGTTTAAAATCAAATAGTTTTCTTACCATTTTAGTTATGTTTTCAATAAAGTTTTCAAGTTAGGTTTTACGCATGCTCAACTATTACACAATGGAAATGAAAATGAAAAAATGAAGGGAAATTGAAACACAAACCAATCTGGTAATGTCTTATGTAATGTGGTGTCTGACCATTCCTTCAGAGAAAGGAGAGAAGCAAATGATTGCCTTTCCTGGATATCTCTTTCTGAAGACACCAGAAATCAGATATTTGTGGATAACATTACTTTTGAGAATATTGGTTTTGAGGGGAACTGTCTACATGGATGAGTGTTAAAATGACTATGACATATTAAACATAAATATATATTTTTCTATTTTTGAATAGCTCAATGGTGATTCGAGATTTAACCTTGCGCAGTGCTGCTAGCTTTGGCTCTTTTCATCTGATCCGCTTGCTTTACGATGAATACATGTTTTACTTAGTAGAACACCGTGTTGCTCAGGCAACCGGAGAGACACCTATTGCAGTTATGGGAGAGGTAAGATAATATGTAAGAGACTAGATTCATAGATGTAGTAATGAATTTGGGTATGTGTCTTTGCAAATTTTTTAAACATTTATCTGGAATTGTAGGATGTTCTGCAATATTAACAGTAGGTTGGGTTACAAATACATAACAACAGTTGCAAACTTGTTTTATTGGTTGATTGTCAGACTATTAAAATCACGTTGAATTCTAATAAGCATTTATAAATGAGCTTGCTCCCTTTACAAATCTGCACACAGATTCATATGCACAGTTCGAAGAATGTTGATCAACATACAACCTTTTTCCAGTTTTTGAGAACTATTTTATGTGAAAATTAAAAAAAAAAACATATTTCTTTATGTGAAAATTAAAAAAAAAAAGAAGAGTAATAGGAAACTGTTGCTTATATGGATCTGTTCATGTGTATTTGCACACGTTTTGAATTCCTGCAAGTGAGCATAGTACTCCCATTGACTTCAGAAGGATGGCTTACGTGCAGAATTTTGGCTTCTACAGTAATGTTTACATACCTGTAATAAAACCGTCGCAGACATACATGAAGGTTTGCAACACACTTGATATTCAGAAATGTGTTTCAAAGATTATTGATTTAAAAAACAAAATGAGTCTCAATTCATAACCAGTTTCTTATCGGTGGCATCTGCAAGGCAAAGTTCATCTCATCCCTCTTTTGCATTAGTTCATCTAACCTTTTATTTTGAGTGAGAGATGAATTGTCATCAAAGAATTGCACTTCAAAAGTGCTGGAAAATTGATATATTTTAAAATATGCTAGATAGTCAATGGGACAGATTTGTTACATTTTTACACTTGGAAGTCACTATTATATTCTATATTACTGATAAACTGCAAGTCATATTGTGGGTTCATTTGGCAACAGGTTATCATTCTTCCCTCAAGATACATTGATAGGCTCATTTAATACTATAAATAGATGGTATACTTTGAAGAGAAACTGGAAATCTTAGCTTTATCAAAAGATTTTATATTCCATGTCATGACATGCTTCAGAAAATATAAGTAACATTGTTTCTGCTTAGTGACCCACTGACAGTATATTTGCTGAATCTCTGCCTTACATTTACAGTACTACAGTTACTACATTCCTGTCCTCCTAAGAGACACTGTATATGCTGGACATAAGTGTAGTGTAGAGTCTTCTTAAAAGTTTATATAGGTTGAAGGTGGAGATACCATGAGGAAGTAAGTAATCCATAATTTTTGGAGGTGAGAGGAACAAAATTAATAAATATTCATTAAATATTTAGTGGCTTTATGTTTCTGTATTCAATGACTGTGATTGAAATAAAATGAGGAACTGTACGACTGTGGTCCAACAAACACCGTAAGACAGTATAAACTGGTGTTGCAGCTGAGCAAAACATTCTTTTTCTCCCTTCCTCTTCTCCCAGCTTTGGATACACATATTGGCAAAACTCTTCTGGAAAAGACCAGTATCATCATGTATGGTTGGAGATGTATTTATCTAAATAATGTAATCCTTTCAGTTGAGATTCATTGATGGCATTTTGCTCTGCCAGCTCTTAGTTAAAACAAACTTAGAGGATACAGGGGAGGAGAGGGAGGAAGGTTGTATATCTAGGTTGTGAGCAACTTTTTTGAAAATGTATTTTTTTAATGTAAGGAAAATCAGTTACCAGACTGCAAATCCTTTTTCAGCCATACCTTTCATCTACCTTACAGATAGATTTGCAACACTCTGACGTACCTTCATTTTGTTCCAGGACAATTAAAGTTGTCTCTGGGAAATTTTAGAAAGAGCTTTTTGTTAAAATATTGGCAGTTCAGAATGGATATCCATCATCATTTAAGGCTTTATACAACACATAAATAGCTCACTTCAAGCAGTGAAGGTTGTGATGAAGTAATCTTAATAAAATTTGACATCCCCCATTTTAATTTTGGGGGGTTTACTTAGTGATATAAGTACAAGACTAGGAAGGAAGGGAAAATGAATTGCTGCAGAATGAATGTGGCTGCAGAGAAGATCTGCTCCATCACGAATGCTCTAAGTTCACATTTGCTTAAGACTGTGTCCAGTTTTTTTATTGTTTCTTTTGCAGTTTGGTGATATAAATGCTGTGTCCCCTGGAAATATGGATAAAGGTAAATATTTTAATCTCTCCTGTGTATAAAACTAATGTGTCTCTGAGCAAAATTAAGTCCTTATGTTTTAAAAATACAGTAAAACAGAATTTAGAGCTGTATCATGCTTTAAAGTGCATATATATATTACCTGAATGCATTAATAAATTGTATGGATACAATAAGCTATCTATGTAATATGCAGCATATAATAATGACTAGAATATTATATGTTTGTTTGAAAATAAGAGTATATTTCAAAAAGGCTTATAATTGATACAAGAAATACTCAAATTTTTATGCAGAGTTTAGTTGTATCAGATGGGACAAAGGAGGGTAATGTGGGAAGAAAGACAGGAGTATGCTTATATCTGGTTTATCTGTAGTAAATGTTTTGCTAAGTGAAAAAGGCAGAATTGCATGCAGGTAGTTCTCAGATAACTTGTCAGTGAAAAGGATAGAAAGAAATTAGTTCCTTATAATCTCTTCATGCCATATTTTGACATAGGTTCTTAGAGTGACTAGTTGAGTGATTTGACGTATCTTGACCGCAGATCACACAACTAATGAGTATGAGAATGTCTGTCAAAATTTGCATCCAACTCACTCCAAATCTCTTCAGTTTCCATGTCAGTAACTAAAAGTAACAACTGTTTTGTTCATCATGTCTTCGAGGTGAGAGGCATTTAGCACTAGTTGCTTGTTAGAGGTTGTTTTTGAGATTGCAGATGCTTTACACACATACTGTTTCAACAGTACGTCAAGTGATCAAGGCTAGAAGTCTGCTTACCTATTTGAGATAATCGTTGACTTTTTCCATTAAAATTTTACTTTTCAGATTGTAATTTATCAGATTCCTAGCTTTCCCTGTATTTTTGTATTTCAAATATTATTTGCAAAATAAAGGCCCTTGTATTAGACTTTTTTTCCTTCATGCTAGTTTCATGGTGGTTTGTTTGTACAGATGAGGGCAGTGAAGTTGAAAGTGAAATAGATGAAGAGCTGGATGAAAATGGAGAGCCACAAGCCAAGAGGGAGAAAACAGAGCTAAACCAAGCGTTCCAGGTGGGCTGCATGCAGCCAGTGCTTGAGAGTGGAGTACAGCAGAACCTCCTGAACCCAATTCATAATGAGCACATTGTTGCAACTACTCAGACTATCAGACAATGCAGTGCTACTGGAAATACATATACTGCAGTCTAATATGAAACCTCCCCTTTTCCCCCAACACACCCTTTGGGTTTAATATGAAAAAAATAAAGATAGTAAGTCCGAAGGACGACTGTTGTCAAATTTTAGCTGTGCTGAACATTATTTTACTGGAGTTGTTAAATGGAATGGGTGTATGTATTTTGCCAGATCTGTTAAAAAGAAAAAAAAAAAGGCAAAAAAAATTTTGTAAACAGAATCATTTTACATTGGCCATTCAATATGAAGAGTTTTCTTCATATCAAATGCAAGGAAGATTTTTGCAAAGCTTAATGTTAATGTTTTTGTCCTCTTACAATAATTTAATTTTTTTCATAGTTTTAAAAAATATTTTAATGTTAATTATTAGTTACAATGATGATTTAAAATAGATGGGGTTTTAATTAGATGCACTTCTGTGAAATATCAAAAGAACTATTTTCTTTGATTTACACTGGAGGCATACTTATTTGACAGCAGATGTATCAAATATGTTATAAAAGGTGCTTTTCATTGGACAACGAGAAGACACTATTTTGATAAAATTGTGAGCATATTCACAGGGGGATTTTTTTGTAATAATGCTGGAGGGTTGGGGAGATCTCCTAGTTTCTTTCTGTGAGCAAGAAGCGAGTTTAAATGACAGAATTGTAACAGAATACGGTATTGTGTACGTCATAAACGTACCCAATTATCTGACCATTATGTAAACAATGCAAGCTTCCTTTAAAATCAACAGTTCCAGATATTATTTGCATACCAGTTCCTCTGTTTTGAAGACTACTGATTCTATATGTGGGGCCACTGAACAGATGCTTTTGGCTGTTGAGTGGTACTGTAGTTGTTAGAAACTGAAGCTAAAAAAGAAGTGACTTTATTAATTTTAAGTGTACGTGCTACTTACGCTGAACTGGACATACAGGAAAACATTCCATTTGGATGACTTTCTTCTATTCCAGGTCTTTTCCTACTAGTGGTTCAATCTGCTGCTCTTAGAAAAGATGATTTATAGAATGCAAGGAATGTAGCAACCTGCATCATTTTCCTTTAAGAAATATTACCTTGTTAAAGTGGATTTAAATTTTTACAAAAATTAGATAAGGCAGTGTAACTGGCACACCTCACTTGTACTTATTCCCAATTGTGTAGAATTTGAATAGGTGGCTAGATGGACCATTGCCATTTAAGAATGTACATCAGGGATCATTGTACCTCGGCTATTACATGGTGCCTTAAACAGAACTGAAGCTAAGACTTAGAACTTTTTGTTATTCTTAACTCTTAAATTAATTCAACAGCATATGCCTGTCATTTTCAAATTCTCTAAGAAGTAAAGACAGGTTACATAGCCTTCAAAAGAATAAAAGGACTTTTTTATTATTAAATGATTTTAATATCCCTCTTAGAATGACAATAAACCTATTTTTTCTTGTTTCTAGCTGGATTTCACTTTATTACAAATAAAATTTGCTTGGGAATTTGGAAAGCAAAACTAGCTTTAATACCAACTTAAAATGTCAAAATAGATTGACCATAGTCCCAAGCATGACTATATATTTTCTAAACCCTTGCCTACTTTTAATTTTAAAACCTAAAACTAAAAAATGAGCAGGTACATAATGCAGTGCATGTTTTCAATTTCTATATTTTGTGGGGTATCAGCCAGATACTACATTTTAATGGTTAAATAATGACAGTTCATAGATACCATATTAATTGACATTAAAACTCAAATTTTTCTTCTTAAACATTTCATTATGCAGACACATGAATTTGCTACACTAAAATAGTGGAATTAAATAAGAAAAAAAGCCAAAAAGTGAAGGAGAGCACAAAAAGATCAACTTTACAGAAAAGACTGTGTAAGAAAATTAGGGATTCTTTTATTTTGGTTTATCTAGTGTGTCTGAAAATTACTTTAAAGTCATATATACCAAATGGGAGAAGAGCTTGTAAAATGAACAGCATATTTATAGCAAACAAGTTTGTTGCTAGAGTTTACATATGCTCCAAATACAGCTGCACATCAACTGAAATGTCCTAAGATTATTGGTGTACAAAATTAAATTTTAATGCCTTTGCAGAACTGGGAGGTGAACCCATCCTGCTCATTCTATGTAGGCATAATCCTTACTAATGTCGGTACATGGCTTCTGCCTCAATAAGAAGTGAAAGTGAGGTTTATATTCATTATTTCTAAACTCATAAATGCACTGAATATCATTATAGATTTTGTTGTCACATATATTGCTCAGTGTGTCCTGATTTTTCCTTGGAAATCAGCACATCTGTACCCTTCACCAAAAATGCTAAAACTAAGCTGTGATAAATATTTACTCCCCTTCATTGTGCATTACAAGATGTTTACAAGTAAAATAAAGTGAAGTAATTCAACATTTTTTTCATTTTCAGCATTTCTTAGTACTGTAGTACTTGTTTCAATTTTTGTGTTGATTGACCTGTAATGTTTTCTTATTATTGTCCTTTCTTGGTTTAATGTTGGATTTGCTGTTGCTAAGAAAAAGAGTACGATTTTAAGAGGTAAATCTAGATTAGTAAAAAAAGGTGGGACCTGATCTTTCATTGTTTAGCTCCCCACTCCACTCAGTTGTTCACTGTTCACAAAGTGCAAAACAAAACTGAACAAAAATCTGATACAAAAATGGAACATATTTCATAGCTTCTAAAAATCAATGAGTTATCAAAACAAATTGGAACTATCCCAGGTTCAGAAAACTGAATGGAGTCTGTAGTCCTGTGCTTAGATTCTAAAGATTTTACCAGTTTTTTTTTAGAACTATGTTACTGCAAGCTGCATTGTATACTTACAGGCTTGGGGGTCTCTTGTTTTTACATTTACTGAAATTTTAGTCAAACACTTAGATAAAACATTTTGCACATCCTTGCTATTAAATAGTTGGGGTTTAGTAATCATTACACTACATAGATACAAATACCTCAGTCCATATTCTCAGTCCAAATGCGGTTGCATTGCCACACCAGCTCTGAAGTCTATTGTTAGTGCTCTTGAGAGGTGTAGCATGTATCCACAGGGTAGACATTATGAGAGTTGACATGGTTTATGTGTTTTATCTAATATTGACATAGGATCCAAAATAATTATTTTATAATAATAATTTTAGAGGCATTTCCCCCATTAGCACAGAATGCTCAGTGAACATTGTGGGGAAATGGATATTGTTGAAAAGGGCCCAATTTTCAAAAGTTTTGTATTTATTAAAATTCATTGGTACATTTTCATCTTTCTCATGGTAAATCAGATCGAAAGCTTTTTTTTTTTCTGTTGTCAATTGCTATTTCTGTGTTTTGCTCTTGTACTGTAGCATGTTCTAAGCACCTTTTAAAAAAAATCCATAAAAAATTGGAAAATAGATTTTAAATTATTTACCTATACAATGGTGATATACAGCATTACTGCCTTTAGTTCAAAAATAAGAAAATAGATTATGTTCTGTCATTCAAGAATGTGTAGGTCTGTATACAAATTTAATTTAAAGTGGGGTATTTTAAAATATCTAAAACACTTCTTTGTTCACCTTGTTTTCCCTAGGAGAACTGATCTCATGTTTTTGTCAATCTCACCAATTGACACCTGCACTGTTTAGAAAAAAATTTATATTAGAGATGCGCTGCAATCCAGTTTAATTCAGAATGTTGTTACAAAACAGAAACAACCACTGATAGCCATGAAAGTGCTGACAAAAATAGATTTATTAGTAATATAAATATACGACGGTAATTTCAGAGTATAAGCATTCATTCAAGAGAGCAGTCTGAACTTCTGAAAATTGGGCCCTTGTCTCTCTAACAGGACATCCTCTTTGTATATGGTTTAAAACAAATCAATAAATGGAATTCTAGTATCTCTGCTAATTGTTTGGTGATTTAAGACAAACAGTAAAAACTGGAATAGAAGCATAAACACACAGTGCTTAGTTCTAGTATTAGGAAATTAATTTGATGTAATGCCTTGCATTAACCCTTTGAGCATTGTAAGGAACGTGATGGGAACAAAGCTTTTTAGATAATTTAATTAGTCCACTGAGCATATATTTTGAAATAGCTGATAGTGTAGGGATTTTTTTAAATTATGTTTAAAGTAAATACTTGCATACTATATGGGGATGGTTTTATTATAGGAGGCTCAGTAGACCTAGGCAAAATATTCACTGCCATTGAGGTGTACTGTCTTATGGAAAACAGTACTTCAGCTCCCTTGTTTTCATAATTGCATAAATATATAAAGAAAATAAAACTTATGTTTCTACAGATAAGAAGTCTACTTTAAGATGCCTTTAGGAGATAAAGGTTTAGAAAATATATTCAGAAAATCTCCTGGGATAGATTAGTTTTGGAATACTGTGGTACTGTAAAAGAGAATCTTTAGAATTAAAAGAAGGCTTAGTGAAGAATAATAATTTTGCAGAATATTTGGTGTGTTTGCATTGAAATTTTTGGCAGTGATTGATAAACTAGAACAAAAAATGCACCATTATATTGATATTCCTTCTAAAACTCAGTCACTGCAATAATGGCTAGCTAAAAGATGAAGGTATTTTATTCATTTTCATCTACAGGGGTACAGTTTGGATGGCCCCTACTGAATGTCAGAATTTTAAAAGCAACCTAGAAAATGCACAAGCCTTTTGCCATTTAAAAAAACACCTTTGTTCATAGAAATACTGCTTACAAGAACAAGGGAACAAGTGTAGTAGCAAGTAGAGATTCTTCAAACTTACAGATAGAAATACCACCTTACTAAGTAAGAGTACAATACATTTTCTAATGGTTTCTTGCAATATATATCAGTCAGCAAACACTGAGTGCAGCTGTACTTATTTAAGTCTAGCTGAGGGCAAAAAAAGGGTCTCATTTTAAGTTATTTAATGGAATTATGTCAGTAGTATAGTGCAAGTAAGTTGTAAACAATTTTAGTCAGTTAATGCAAATTCATGCATAATTGATTAACATAAATGCAATACTCAAAGGGTTTTAATTTAACATCTTTTTTTATTCATAATTTACTGTAAATGCTTCTG